CAGGCATCCCTGTCCTTCACCATCTCCCAGAGCTTGCTCAAACTCAAGTCCATCGAGTCGGTGATGCCATCCAGCCATCTCATCCTCTGTCGCCCCCTTCTCTTCCTGCCTTCAATCTTTCCCACCATCAGGGTCTTTTCTAATAAGTCGCCTCTTCGCATCAGGTGGCGAAAGTATTGGAGCTTCAGCCTCATCATCAGTCCTTCCAGTGAATATTCAGGGCTGATTTCCTTTAGTTTGATCTCCTTGCAGCCCAAGGGACTCTCAAGAGTCTTCTCCAGCAAGACAGTTCGAAAGCATCAACTGAATCCTCCTTGTATGGAATGCTGCTTTCCAGGGATGGTGTGGTGCCTTGTGTAAGCTAACCCAGTTACTCCCCCAAAGAGTTAGAAGCAAGGAAGTGAAACGAGGCTCAGATAATTTAAAGTCCTCGCTCTGTCTCTGTATGTGCTTCATGCCAATAGGGGGATGACTTCAGTGGATCTTATTTCTATGTTCAGGAGCCTTTTGAGCAGCTGTGTGTACAAACTCCCCACATGTCAAGTCAGAAAGACATAAAGAAAATATTGCATATTAACATGCGTGTGTGAAATGCCAAAAAATGGTACAGATGATATTACTTGTAAAGAAGAAATCGGGACACAGTCATGGAGAACAGATGTATGCATGCCAAGAGGGAAAGAAAGGGTAGGACGAATTGGGAGGTCGGGATTGATGTACATACACTATTGATATTATCTATAAAATAGATAATTAATGAGAACCTGGGTTTCCCTGCTGGCTCAGACACTAAAGAATCCACCTCTAAATCAAGAGATCCAGGTTCAGTCCCTGGGTTGGGAAGTTCCCCCGGAGAAGGGATAGCCTACCCACTCCAGTATTGTTGGGCTTCCCTGGTAGCTCAGATGGAAAAGAGTCTGCCTGCAGTTCAGGATACCTGGGTTCAATCTCTGGGTTGGGAAGATCCCCTGGAGACAGGAGTGGCTACGCTCTCCAGCATCCTTGCCTGAGAATCCCATGGACGGAGGAGCCTGGTGGGCTACAGTCCATGGGGTCGCAGAGTTGGACACAACTGAGCTACCAGCACTTTCACTTTTTGATGAGAATCTACTGTCCAGCACAAGGATATCTAGTCGGTGCTCTGTGTTGATCTAAACAGGAAGGAAATGCAGATAAGAGGGGATCTAAATGCATGTACAGCTGATTCGCTTTGCCAAAGAGTAGAAAGCAGTTGAACATTCTAAAGCAATCAAACCAAAGGGTCAAGGCTCACTCATTGACCCTTGCTCAGTGTTCAAGTAGTTGAACATTCTAAAGCAACTACACACCAGCATCTCCTGATGTTGAGGAGACGTTTTCTAAACCCCGACCCTTTGGCTCACCCCAATCCCCTGAAGAAGGCATGACATGCCATCCACATAAAGCTCAGAGAGGTTGAGTCACATCTCCCTGCTACACAGAGGTAGCATCTGGCCACCCAAGTCTATCAGAATCGGATATGACTGACACCTCCTATGACCGTGAGGCAGGTTCTGCTGAGGCTGGTTCTAAACCAGAAAGGATTTTCAGGATCAGAGTGTCCAAGCAACTCAACACCTCTGCCCTATTCTTTTCTGTCCCTGAATTATTCAGCAGTTGGATCACCGCGTGGCAGGAATCCAAGTGTGGTCTCCAGTGCAAACATAGACGCAGACACAGCAATCAGCCGTTGGGTGCGATGCGGAGTTTTCCCTGTTGATGCTACCACCCGGCATCTCGTGTGTTTCCATCCAGCTCTGATTAGCTCGGCCCGGGATGTCACGGATGGCAGAGCTTCCCCCAGGGATATTCTAGCTCCCCGAATAGACAGATCTGGCTCAGCTATGTTTCATTAAAAAGTAAATTATCTGTTTGACATATTTTGCTCAGCCCTGTTCCCTGAAATGAGATGCATAATTACATTCTGGTCCAGAAAGACTGTTGAGTAACCCACCGTGTCCTTAGAAACACATTCGTCTATTCTGGGTTGCAGAGTGCTATGTTTTCAAAGGCAGGGTCTGATGGAGAGTTGGAGAAGGGAATGGCTACCCACTCCAGTACTCTTGGCTGGAGAATCCTATGGACAGAGGAGCCTCGTGGGGGTCATGGGGGTCACAAGGAGTCTTGGACACAACTGAGCGACTGAGTAGCTGGTGGAGAAAAGACTGGTGGTTGCCAACGGTGGGGAGGTGGAGGGAAGGATGGAGTCGGAAGTTAGGGTCAGCAGATGTGAGCTTTTGTATACAGAATGGAGAGATAGCAGCATCCCTCTGTATAGCAGAGGGACCTGTATTCAGTATTCTATGATAAACCATCATGAAAAGGATTATTAAAGTATGTCAAGTTATAACTGAATCACTTTGCTGTAAGGCCGAAATTAACACAACAATATAATCAGCTATATTGCTTAGTCACTTAAGTCGTGTCCGGCTCTTGCGACCCCATGGACGGTAGCCCACCAGGCTCCTCTGTCCGTGGGATTCTCCAGGCAGGAATCCTGGAGTGGGTTGCCATTCCCTCCTCCGGGGGTTCTTCCCAACACCGCACTCGAACCCAAGTCTCCTCTGTTGGAGGCAGATTCTTTACCACTGAGCCCCCTGGGAAGCCCATAATCAACTATACACTTCGGTAGAAAATGTTGATTTTAAAAAGTAGCATCCTTGGATCATCACTTGAAATATTTTCTGTCTCTAATGCGTTATTTGTAATGCTCAGGTGTGTCATTCTTATGAATATCATACATCCTTTATCTATTGAGAGTCATGGGATCCACACTGAGACACATTGAGATGGTCAGGTTTTTTTGGTTTTTTTTTTGAGGGGAGGTGGAGGGGAAGCAAGTGGCTTGCAGGATTGTGGATGAGTGTTCCACAATCAGAGATTGAACCCGAGTCCTTGGCAGTGAGGGCGTGGAGACCTGATCACTGGACCGCCAGGGAATTCATTCCCAAGGATGTCACTCTTTCAAAGTGGGCTCCTCCCAAACTCCACAGGTAGAAAGCTTAGATGTGTCATCAGCTTCTTCCATAGGCTGCAGGCTCTCCTCTCGAAGGCAGGCGGTATTTGACGTGAAGAATCGGGATCGCTGCACCAACGCTCTTAATGATGAATGATGACTTGATACCACAGGCTGCATGACTTGATGATGGTACTGGAGATGTACCATGTTGTTCTGTCTCTTTCAAGGAAGCTAAGGTTCAGGGTAACGATATCTGGAGCCTGGGTGCTTGCTATTGAGCTGCCCAGAACCGATAAGTATTCATTGTCTGCATGCATGCTTGTTCGCTTCAGTCGTGTTCCGATTCTTTGCGACCCTATGGACGGTAGCCCTCCAGGCTCTTGTGTCCATGGGATTCACCAGACAAGAATAGTGGAGTGGGTTGCCATTCCCTCTTCTAGAGGATCTTCCCGGCCCAAGGATCAAACCTGTGTCTCTTACGTCTTTGGTTTTAGCAGACTCTTTCAATTTGCTGCTCCGTTTGTGGGCCTCTTAAGTGGTGCTCATGGTAAAGAACTGGCCTGCCAATGCAGGAGACTTCAGAGACGTGGGTTCCACCCCTGGGTGTGGAAGATCCCCCTGGAGAAGCAAAATGGCAGCCCACTCCAGTATTCTTGCCTGGAAAATTCCATGGACAGAGGAGCCTGGTAGGCTACAGTCCGTGGGGTCGCAAAGAGTCGGACACGACTGAAGCCCCCCCTTGGCATGCCTTTGTATTGGCTGATAAACGTCCACACGGCATGAAGCCTATCTGGTGTGGATGCACACCTACGTTTTACACATCTTAGAAGACTTTCAGAGTTCCACTCACAATATCTTAGGGCATAGTGATGCTTTTTTTTTTAAATATTAATTTTTTTTTACTGAAGTATAGTGGATTTCCAGTGTTGGGTGAGTTTCAGGTATACGGTGAAGTGATTCAGCTAGATATGTGTGTGAGGGTGTATATGTGTTTCTGATTCTTTTCCCGTATAGCTTGTTATCAAATATTGGGCATAGCTCCCTGAGGTGTACGGTAGGTTCCTGTTTATCTATTTTATATGTAAAGTGACAGTTTTCTTAAACATCCGAGAGACAGTGTTTTGGTTGTGCCTGTCCATTGACGGGCGAATATCAAAAACAGTGAAATTGTAGTTGTGGTTTAGTTGGTACACTTAGGACCTTGTGTGACCCTATGGACCGTAGCCAGCCAGGCTCCTCTGTTCATGGGACTCTCCAGGCAAGAATACTGGAGTGGGTTGCCATGCCCTGCTCCAGGGGATCTTCCCGACCCAGGGATGGAACCACGTCTCTTGCAGTGGCAGGAGGGTTCTTTACCACTGAGACACCAGGGAAAGCCCAAGAATCAAATTGGACGTCCATACAGTTGTCTGCATCGCTGTCAATACATGTTGCACTGACATGGTTCATGTAAGGAAGTCTCGAGGGTTCCTGGAATATTTTGTTCTCTGTGGTGGAGTTCACCGTGGAACTTAAGTCAGGACACCGTCTGGCTGGAGTCTACCACCTGGAGAGATGCTGTACTAGACTGATTGGTGAGAAAGGATTTTCTGGAGTGATGTGTAGGGTTTCCTGGAAGCTTCCGTTCATCATCTGTGTCTGCTTTTTCCTTCCCTTTAGGCTGCCCGCTCTGCGTCGGCGTTCTGATAAAGGATCGCTGTTGCTGGGAGGTGCTGGACGGCCCCGGCCTCTTTGGAGCCCTGTAGCGGCGGGAATCCGGTCCGAAGATTAAGGCAGTGCAGCGGTCTTGCAATGGGAGGCCAGGACCACCGGCGGGCTGGCTGTTGACCGTGGGCTCTGTCTATGCCCCATCGGGAGTGCGTCCGCAGGAAGCCCTTCACCTCTCCCAGCTCTCGGTCCTTGGAAGCCCCTCTCCCTCCGCGAGGGCACCCCATTTCCCGTCCTCATCTTCTCAGAGTCTCCTCCCCTGGACACCCCCACCCACCCACCCGCACCTCCCCAACCCTGGATGTGCGGGTGAGCCATGTCGAGACCCCAGGGACTCTTATGGCTTCCGCTGGCCTTCACCCCTGTCTGCGTCATGGTCAACTCCAACGTCCTGCTGTGGATCACCGCCCTGGCCGTCAAGTTCACGCTCATCGACAGCCAGGCCCAGTACCCCGTGGTCAGCACCAACTACGGCAAGATCCGGGGCTTGAGAACGCCGCTGCCCAATGAGATCCTGGGCCCCGTGGAGCAGTACCTGGGCGTCCCTTACGCCTCGCCCCCCACCGGGGAGAGGCGCTTCCAGCCCCCCGAGCCCCCGTCCTCGTGGACCGGGGTCCGCAATGCCACGCAGTTTGCCGCCGTCTGCCCCCAGCACCTGGACGAGAGGTCTCTCCTGCACGACATGCTGCCCGTGTGGTTCACGGCCAACCTGGACACCCTGATGACGTACGTGCAGGACCAGAATGAAGACTGCCTCTACCTGAACATCTACGTGCCCACGGAGGACGGTGAGTACCCGCCTTGGGCCGGCACACCTGCTGGGTCAGCCTCCCCCTGTGTGCCGGCAGCCTTTTATCACGTCCTGTGCACCCTCATCTCTATGACCCAGTTATTATCTTTCATATTCACAGTGCGGTTATCACGAGTGACGTTGTGCAGCATGTATTTAAACGCAGCTGGACGGTCCTGTATTGAATGGCTTAGTTGTTTCCTACATTACCTTTGTGGTATATCTGTCATCCTTATTTGTAGATGAGAACCCATGCGAACGTATAGTCTTGTAGGTTATGCTGGGATCACCTGTAAAAGGTGACTCTAAAGAAACTAATAGAATTAACGTGATCAGCCTTCAGTGAGCCACTGAAAATCATATCGGGAATAGTGCCTTTGGCTTTAACGTCTTAAGATGCTAGCACTTTTCCTTTTGAGTCTGAAGGTGAACCACCAGGTGTTTTAAATAACAAGCGAGGGATAGTTAGGTACAGCGATTGGACTTGATTGTTTAGAAGCCACGTCGTCGCCGTTAACTTGGACGTCATTTCCTTCCAGTAGTCGCTCCCGGCAAACAGCAGATGTGTGTCCTCAGAACAGTCTAGCTATGTCAGAAAAATAATGTTCTTGCTGGGACCCAATGCCCCCTTTCCTTTTGGATAACTCAGCAGTGAAACTCTTGGTAACTGTAATGTTCCTTCTAAATCCAGTGCTTGTAAAACTTGTGTATCTCCTTCTTTGTGTAGACTTCAAAAGGCCAACCAGACTGAAGTCAGGCTAGATCCACGAGAAAAATTATGTTCTAGCTAGAACAAAATGACCCTGTTTTTTTGTTTGGATAACACAGCAGAGAAAGTCTGTGAAAGCTATCACGTTCCATATATTATTATAACTAAATCCCACTCTAGTAGAACTTGGCTATCTCTTTGTTCGTGAAGACTTTGAATTAAACCGTTTGATAAAGACCAACCAGACCAAAGTCTGGCTACAGTGTAAGCCTGTAAGCCCATTTTTTGGTTTCTTATTTATATGTGCTATTTTCGTACAAGGAGAAGGAAAGGGGTAGATTGCAATCTTCCTGGAATTTAGAATTTAGAGGCATCATAGTAGCCGTCCTCATCTACTCTGAAAACCAAAGTGCATCCATTTCCTTGGTAACTTTCACATACACCTTTGTCTTCCTCCCCCCAACCACCACCCCCTTTAATCCTTGAGAGATGTTTCTCCATGAGACTCAACTGAGAGTCTGGCCACAAGCAATGACATTACTCGGGGATATCCAGAATTGCATCGCATCGCCATGTGGGTCTTTCTCAGGGTGGACGCAGGGAGATGATGTGAGGACTGTTAAGGAGAAACCAGGCCACAGGCGTCTGTTAGGGAGATGACAGAGGACTTCCAGGGAAAGATACGGAAGGGTTGGGCTTCATCATATCAGCAGAGGTTGGCATGGAGACAGCCTTCTTGTTGCTATGGAGACAGACGAACCAATCACCTTGCATAGTCTAGGGCTGAATGGGGTTCAAGGGGTTAAACTGACTCCGGATGCCTTACTTCTGTGCCCTGCCCTGAGCTGTCCTTGCGTGTGGCAGCTCCTAGTACCTCCTTAGTGCATCGACAAGGATGGAGAATCCCACCCCAAGAGAATTAAGGGTTCGCCTTTCAAAGCCACCTAAGTCCTGGACTTTCTCATCATGAGCTGTCCACACGAAGTAATTAAAACAAAGGTGGAAGGGGAGGCAGGGTAGAGGGAACAAACCCAGGTAAAAGATTAAAATTGCTTTCACAATAAATTTGACATGCAGGTGTTTATGAACGGTTAACTTGAGAGCGCTGCCCTGCCAAATAAGAAATGCACTTCAAAGAGGCTGCCTCCTTTTGAAAAAGTGAAAGTGTTAGTCCCTCAGACATGTCCCTCCCTTTGCGACCCCGTGGACTGTAGCCTGCCAGGCTCCTCTGTCCGTGGGATTCTCCAGGCAAGAATACTGGAGTGGGATGCCATGCCCTTCTTCAAGGGACCTTCCCAACCCAGGGATCTAACTCGGGTCTCCCGCGTTGCAGGCAGGTTCTTTACAGTCTGAGCCTTGAGAGGCAGAGCGCAATTAGACCATCCAGGAAGAAAAGCCAATAGCTTCGTTGATGGCAGGCTCATGAGTGTGCAATTGCGTGGATGGGAACCATAAGCAATTCGGCCATTTCTTTGTGGTTCAGTATTCAATAGGAATTAGGGGGAAAAAAACATGTGAAAAATGCTGCCTAACAGAGAAGCAATCTAAATTTAAGAATAAAGGCGGTGCTACTTGTTGACTCCTGGGTATTTTTATAGCACTTTTGCACGCCATATCTCACACCATCTTGACGGGACAATCAGAAATCTAATACGGGCTGAATAGCTAAAATTGATCTCCCTATAATATATAAATAATGGATTTTCACTGGTGAGTGAAGCCATACGCCTGTGTGTTTCCAGAAACAGAGAATCACAGCGTATTGGGTCAGGAGTTCTGTGCGTTTAAAAAAAGATAACTCCTATCCATTTGACAATGAACGTGGAGGCTTAGATGTTTAATTACTGGTTATTCTTAAATGAAGAAACCATACTTCTATAATAACACATGAAAATTATGGCTTCATGCTTGGTCCCTGCAAAGAGCTTCCTTTAGGGCATATCGAAATTCGTAACTGTGCCTTTGATTAAATGGATGTATGGTGATACCAGCTATGTGGAATTCAAAATTCCACTTTGGCACTCGGGGTTTTTTTTTTTTTTCCATTTATTTTTATTAGTTGGAGGCTAACTACTTTACAATATTGTAGTGGTTTTTATCATATATTTACATGAATCAGCCATGGATCCATGTGACTTCACTACCAATCATGTGCCAGCTAAGCTTTACATGTTGGCATGGCAACAGAGACAGCCATTCTTAATTTCCAGAGACACACATTTATTGTAAGCAGAATAGTGGCTCCCCCAGAGAAGGGGGTAAAGAACCCGCCTGCACTGCAGGAGATGTGGGTTTGATCCTTGGGTCAGGAAGATCCCCTGGCGGAGGAAATGGCAACACACTCCAGGATTTGTGCCTGGGCAATCCCATGGACAGAGGGGCCTGGCCGGCTACAGCCCATGGTGTCGCAGAGAGTCGGACACGACTGAAGCTACTTAGCAGGCATGCACGGCCGCACGCGGAGGGAAGGGCAAGTCCCAAACCCAGGAGACATTGGCTATTATTACCTTAGAGTGCTAAGCGGAGGAGGTTGCATCTACAATTAATACCTGCTCATCCGTTGACCTTAAGATGCAGAGAATATACTCTGGCTTATCTGGGTGGGTCCAGATGTGATCGCAGAGACTGTTAATTGTGAATGAGGGCGAGAGAAAAGGTGATCAGGGCCAGAGGGGAGCAACAGGAAAAAGGTGCAGTGGCCACAGCTGCCTTTGAGGAAAAGGCGGAGCCGGAAGTCGAGGGATTTGGTGGCTTCTCAAATCTGGAAAAGACAAGAGGCTTGTCCTTGAGCCTCCAGAAAGCCCTGACCACCCCTCAATTTTAGCCTGGGGGAACTCTGAGCTTCAGAACTCTAAGAGCATCAATAGCTGCCCCTTGAAGCTGCAACACTGGGGGCAGTTTGTTATGGCAGCAACAGAAATCTCCCACAGGATTTGGGCAGCTTTTATCACAGTTTGAAATTTATCGTAAACTGTTTGCCTGATTGAAAACAGAGCCTACATACCACTGAACAGTTAATGTGAACTTTCTCCGTTACTACTCATTCTGAGCTGGTAGTTCCTTTGTTTACCTTAGTAATGCCAGAACAGCTTGCTTTTTATTAAGCAGTCACTTTAATGCTGGGTAGTTGAAAATTTGCTGCTTTCTGTTGTACATATCAAGGAGTCAACGTTAGTTGTGATGGCTGGGTTGAGATTTTGAAGATGTGAGGTTTAAACTCTAGAAAGTAGACACCCAACTTTTGGCTGGCGGTGTTCAAAGTAAGGCAGACCTTACTAGTATTCAAAAGCGATGCTGATTTTACACAGGAGCGTAGTGAAAATGTTAGTGTCTCGGTCGTGTCTGACTCTTTGCTGCCCCATGGACTGTCGCCGTCCAGGCTCCTCTGTGCATGGGATTCTCCAGGCAAGAATGCTGGGGTGGGTTGCCATTTCCTCCTGCAGGGGATCTTCCGAGCCCAGGGATCGAATGAAGGGAACATAATGAAGGCGCTTTAAAAAATCTCCAGATGCCCAGAGTGGGTGTAAGTGAATGGCATCAAGGAAAACACCCAAATGCTTCTCTCCCCTCATCTGACATTTAGAAGCAACTGTACCTCTGAACGGCTTCTTCTCGTGTTAGCATAATCTTTTCAGCTCCTTGTTCTTTTTGTCAAGACCTCAAGATCTGATCTCTTCTGGGTGAGGTGGATTCTCTCCCCTTTTGAAAGACAACTTACTGGTGAATTTATTTGAGAGGATGACAGTTAATTCTCTCGCCTCCCGGGTTTCAGTGAGATGTCTTTGAGGGACATTACCATGCAAGTTGAAGGCAGACAGCATGACTGTCTGACTTCCGTGAACTGAGACATGATCACCGCAATAGTTTCAGCTCACGTCCATCTTCTCCGGGGCTCCCCTGGAGGCTCAGTCTGTCGAGAGTCTGCCTGCAGGAGACATGCGTTCGACCCCTGGGTTGGAAAGGTACCCTGGAGGGGAGGGCACAGCAACCCACTCCAGTATTCTTGCCTGGGGAATCCCGTGGACAGAGGAGCCTGGTGGGCTACAGTCCGTAGTGTTGCAGAGAGTCAGATACAACCACCTACCACCACACATCTCATATAGCTATAAGAAAAAGAAAAAAAAAAAAAAGGAAAGTTTTTTTTTCCCTAGTGATGAGAACTGTTAGGCTGTACTCTTTTTTTTTTTTCCAATTTATTTATTTTAATTGGAGGCTGATTACTTTACAATACTGTGGTGGTTTTTGCCAGACATTGAGATGAATCCGCCACGGGTGTACATGTGTTCCCC